TGAGTTAGGTTAACAAGGTGAGTTAGGTTAACAAGTTAGGTTAACAAGGCGAGTTAGGTTAACAAGGTGAGTTAGGTTAACAAGGTGAGTTAGGTTAACAAGGTGAGTTAGGTTAAGGTGAGTTAGGTTAACAAGGTAAGTTAGGTTAACAAGGTGAGTTAGGTTAACAAGGTGAGTTAGGTTAACAAGGTGAGTTAGGTTAACAAGGTGAGTTAGGTTAACAAGGTGAGTTAGGTTAACAAGGTGAGTTAGGTTAACAAGGGAAGTTAGGTTAACAAGGTGAGTTAGGTTAACAAGGTGAGTTAGGTTAACAAGGTGAGTTAGGTTAACAAGGTGAGTTAGGTTAAGGTGAGTTAGGTTAACAAGGTAAGTTAGGTTAACAAGGTGAGTTAGGTTAACAAGGTGAGTTAGGTTAACAAGGTAAGTTAGGTTAACAAGGTGAGTTATGTTAACAAGTTAGGTTAACAAGGTGAGTTAGGTTAACAAGGTGAGTTAGGTTAACAAGGTAAGTTAGGTTAACAAGGTGAGTTATGTTAAACAAGTTAGGTTAACAAGGTGAGTTAGGTTAACAAGGTGAGTTAGGTTAACAAGGTAAGTTAGGTTAACAAGGTGAGTTATGTTAACAAGTTAGGTTAACAAGGTGAGTTAGGTTAAGGTGAGTTAGGTTAACAAGATAAGTTAGGTTAACAAGGTAAGTTAGGTTAGCAAGGTGAGTTAGGTTAACAAGTTAGGTTAACAAGGTGAGTTAGGTTAACAAGGTGAGTTAGGTTAACAAGTTAGGTTAGCAAGGTGAGTTAGGTTAACAAGTTAGGTTAGCAAGGGGAGTTAGGTTAACAAGTTAGGTTAACAAGTTAGGTTAACAAGGTGAGTTAGGTTAACAAGTTAGGTTGACAAGGTAAGTTATGTTAAAAAGGTAAGTTAGGTTAACAAGTTAGGTTAGCAAGGTGATTTAGGTTAACAAGGTGAGTTAGGTTAACAAGGTGAGTTAGGTTAACAGGGTAAGTTAGGTTAACAAGGTAAGTTAGGTTAACAAGGTGAGTTAGGTTAACAAGGTGAGTTATGTTAACAAGTTAGGTTAACAAGGTGAGTTATGTTAACAAGTTAGGTTAACAAGGTGAGTTATGTTAACAAGTTAGGTTAACAAGGTGAGTTAGGTTAACAAGGTGAGTTAGGTTAACAAGGTGAGTTAACAAGGTGAGTTAGGTTAACAAGGTGAGTTAGGTTAACAAGGTGAGTTAACAAGGTGAGTTAGGTTAACAAGGTGAGTTAGGTTAACAAGGTGAGTTAGGTTAACAAGGTGAGTTAACAAGTTAGGTTAACAAGGTGAGTTAGGTTAACAAGGTGAGTTAGGTTAACAAGGTGAGTTAGGTTAACAAGGTGAGTTAGGTTAACAAGTTAGGTTAGCAAGGTGAGTTAGGTTAACAAGGTAAGTTAGGTTAACAAGGTGAATTAGGTTAACAAGGTAAGTTAGGTTGACAAGGTAAGTTATGTTAACAAGAAGTTTAGGTTGACAAGGTAAGTTATGTTAACAAGGTAAGTTAGGTTAACAAGGTAAGTTAGGTTAACAAGGTAAGTTAGGTTAACAAGATAAGTTAGGTTGACAAGGTAAGTTATGTTAACAAGGTAAGTTAGGTTAACAAGGTAAGTTAGGTTAACAAGGTAAGTTAGGTTAACAAGTTAGGTTAACAAGTTAGGTTAACAAGGTGAGTTAGGTTAACAAGGTGAGTTAGGTTAACAAGGTGAGTTAGGTTAACAAGGTAAGTTAGGTTAACAAGTTAGGTTAACAAGGTGAGTTAGGTTAACAAGGTGAGTTAGGTTAACAAGGTGAGTTAACAAGTTAGGTTAACAAGGTGAGTTAGGTTAACAAGGTGAGTTAGGTTAAAAAGGTGAGTTAGGTTAACAAGGTGAGTTAGGTTAACAAGGTGAGTTAGGTTAACAAGTTAGGTTAGCAAGGTGAGTTAGGTTAACAAGGTAAGTTAGGTTAACAAGGTGAATTAGGTTAACAAGGTAAGTTAGGTTGACAAGGTAAGTTATGTTAACAAGGTAAGTTAGGTTGACAAGGTAAGTTATGTTAACAAGGTAAGTTAGGTTAACAAGGTAAGTTAGGTTAACAAGGTAAGTTAGGTTAACAAGATAAGTTAGGTTGACAAGGTAAGTTATGTTAACAAGGTAAGTTAGGTTAACAAGGTAAGTTAGGTTAACAAGGTAAGTTAGGTTAACAAGTTAGGTTAACAAGGTTGAAAGTTAGGTTAACAAGGTGAGTTAGGTTAAACAAGGTAAGTTAGGTTAAACAAGGTAAGTTAGGTTAACAAGTTAGGTTAACAAGGTGAGTTAGGTTAACAAGGTGAGTTAGGTTAACAAGTTAGGTTAGCAAGGTGAGTTAGGTTAACAAGGTGAGTTAGGTTAACAAGGTGAGTTAGGTTAACAAGGTAAGTTAGGTTAACAAGTTAGGTTAACAAGGTGAGTTAGGTTAACAAGGTGAGTTAGGTTAACAAGGTGAGTTAGGTTAACAAGGTGAGTTAGGTTAACAAGGTAAGTTAGGTTGACAAGGTAAGTTATGTTAACAAGGTAAGTTAGGTTAACAAGGTAAGTTATGTTAACAAGGTAAGTTAGGTTAACAAGGTAAGTTAGGTTAACAAGGTAAGTTAGGTTGACAAGGTAAGTTATGTTAACAACCTAAGTTAGGTTAACAAGGTAAGTTAGGTTAACAAGGTAAATTAGGTTAACAAGGTAAGTTAGGTTAACAAGGTAAGTTAGGTCAACAAGGTAAGTTAGGTCAACAAGGTAAGTTAGGTCAACAAGGTAAGTTAGGTTAACAAGGTAAGTTAGGTTAACAAGGTAAGTTAGGTTAACAAGGTAAGTTAGGTCAACAAGGTAAGTTAGGTCAACAAGGTAAGTTAGGTCAACAAGGTAAGTTAGGTTAACAAGGTAAGTTAGGTTAACAATTTAAGTTAGGTTAACAAGGTAAGTTATGTCAACAAGGTAAGTTATGTCAACAAGGTAAGTTAGGTCAACAAGGTAAGTTAGGTCAACAAGGTAAGTTAGGTCAACAAGGTAAGTTAGGTTTAACAAGGTAAGTTAGGTTCAACAAGGTAAGTTAGGTTAAACAAAGTTGGTAAGGTATATGTCAACAAGGTAAGTTATGTCAACAAGGTAAGTTAGGTCAACAAGGTAAGTTAGGTCAACAAGGTAAGTTAGGTCAACAAGGTAAGTTAGGTCAACAAGGTAAGTTAGGTCAACAAGGTAAGTTAGGTCAACAAGGTAAGTTAGGTCAACAAGGTAAGTTAGGTCAACAAGGTAAGTTAGGTCAACAAGGTAAGTTAGGTCAACAAGGTAAGTTAGGTCAACAAGGTAAGTTAGGTCAACAAGGTAAGTTAGGTCAACAAGGTAAGTTAGGTCAACAAGGTAAGTTAGGTCAACAAGGTAAGTTAGGTTAACAAGGTAAGTTAGGTCAACAAGGTAAGTTAGGTCAACAAGGTAAGTTAGGTCAACAAGGTAAGTTAGGTCAACAAGGTAAGTTAGGTCAACAAGGTAAGTTAGGTTAACAAGGTAAGTTAGGTCAACAAGGTAAGTTAGGTCAACAAGGTAAGTTAGGTCAACAAGGTAAGTTAGGTCAACAAGGTAAGTTAGGTCAACAAGGTAAGTTAGGTCAACAAGGTAAGTTAGGTCAACAAGGTAAGTTAGGTTAACAAGGTAAGTTAGGTCAACAAGGTAAGTTAGGTCAACAAGGTAAGTTAGGTCAACAAGGTAAGTTAGGTCAACAAGGTTTACCGGAGGTTATCTTTCAGTCTTGCCATAACATTTACGTCACTTTCCAGACTTACAATGAACTTCTTAACAGAATTAATAGACAATCAAGAAATGTTTGAAAGTCGTATTGATTTCCGCCGGGAAAATTTTTACTTTGGGTGGTGTAATAAGTGGAATGATGAAGATGCAGCCACTGATACGCCATTATAAAGGTAAGAAAGAACCAAGAGTGTTATGGTGTTTGTGTTCTCTGAGTGACCAGCACCTCAAGAAGGTCTCTCAATATTACTTTTGGTACCCTTATACCTTCCTATAATCTCCAGCCTCTGAATTCTCTGTATGATATTCCTGCTACAATTTGCCCTTTTAAAAGTCTCCACTGGCTCATGTGTTCCCCTCACTGTAGAGTTTAAAACCCATACTACACACATATTTAACAGTGTGCCACTATACTCTGGTACATTATCCTTCTTGTCTTTATGGATGAAGTTCTTTGTAAGTTTATTCAGGTATACACAAATACAGTAACAGATTATCATATATAGCATCATATGGCTCAGTGCACCGCCTCTCTATTTTAGCCTTTGTCAGTTTTATGGTTCAGCTAGTCTCTCCTAGACACATCCCTGATAAGGCTGCTCTTAAATATCTGAACACATCAGTTCCTCCGAATATATCAATATTTTTAAAAGGTGGTAAGCCAGTGGAAGGCCTCGGTCATATGACCTAAAGCTCCAGTGGCGGGTGATTGTATAACTAAGACCCGCATCAGAAAAACATTTTCCTGTTTCCTGACCAATCTTACCTAACCTAACTTCCTCCCTCCTCTCTCATAACCAATCTTGCACTGCCTACATTTTTTATACCTTCATTACTTTGTTCTTTCCTATGTTCACTTTTAGTTTCCTTCTCGCACATACCCTCCCAAAGTCGTCTACCAACCTTTGCAACTTCCACTTTGTTAAGAACACCACGACACACAAGAACAAACATGGAACAGCGGTAGCGACCATCAAACACCCTAAGATGGGCATACATAGGCCCCAGTACAAGGTCCCAGTACCACAACAAAGTCCCAGTCACAGTGATAGGCAGTGTAATCCCTATATTCCCTGACTGACAGTAGCTACAGTAATAGCAAACAACGTTGAAAATGTAGAGCAACGCTCTGGGGAGCGACGTATCAAGACGAGAAGACCCTACACCAGTCAAAAGACAGTTAAGTACATCTTAAAACACTAAAGTCGGAAATGAAGAATCAGGTGAGAGCAACAGCTGGTATGGGTGAGTGAAAGACATCAGATACATCGCTTACCCGCACTCTTAAAACATCAGGAGAACATGAAATGTGAAGGTAATGAATGAGAGCTGTGAGACAGGTAAGGAGGACATGCCCCCTTCATGGCTCTAACCAATTAAGGTGAGTGTGAGATGAGAGGTGAGGACAGAACAACCTGCTTGACCCTCCACCGTGTTGTCACCTGCCTGACATACCTCCTTCATCAACCTCAATATTATAAAATATTTCTATCATCTTCCCAGCAAAGGAGAACAATAATATAAGTAATAAGACGTTAAGTAAAATAGAATATTGCACACAGTAACAGAAAATATTAATAATATAATAATAATTTAATAAATATATAATATTAATAATAATAATAATAATGGTATTGATAATTTAATATATAAGTAATTGGTATTAAATATGAAGGTTTAGCGCTTAGTTTTGATTATAATAATAATATAAAATATGCTTTTAATAGAAATATCTATATATATTATATATATATATATATTTATATATATATATATAATATATATATATATATATATATATATATATATATATATTATTTATATTATATATATATATATATCAATAAAATTAAAATTTACTGCCAATGCATTTGTATGTCTGTATATGTCTGTGTATGTTTGTATGTCTGTGTATGTCTGTATGTCTGTGTATGTCTGTGTATGTCTGTATGTCTGTGTATGTCTGTGTATGTCTGTATGTCTGTGTATGTCTGTATGTCTGTGTATGTCTGTATATCTGTATGTCTGTGTATGTCTGTGTATGTCTGTGTATGTCTGTATGTCTGTGTATGTATATACTTGTATATCATAACACTGGCAGTAATATTTTAATCTCTGTGTGTATATCTCTCCCCAGGTCATGATGGTGGGCGTGGGGCGGCGCGTGTCGGGCGTGGGTGCGGGTCTGCGGGCGGCGTGGGCGGGGTCCAGGAGCTCGAGGGAGGAGCACCGCGCCGGTCTAGCGCTACTGCTGGGTCTGTGTGTCATAGCCAGCCTGACCCGGGGGGGTCGAGCCGCCGCCGCCGCCGGCAGCCGCAACAACATGGGCGTGGGCGAGTCGACCCGCACGATACAGTGTCCGTCGATGCATGAGATCTCACCATGCACTTGCCGGGTTATAACAAAAGGCAAGGACTCCGGTTAGCAAGCGTTCTCCTCTCCCGCGTTCAATTTGACTAGATGTTAGTACAAGCGTGTGCCGGGGGTGAGGGGAGAGAGGGGAGTGTACAAGGCGTGGGGTGACACCCCCGTGTGTGTGGGGGGGATAACACAGGCGTGGGCGTGGAGCATGTGTTGTAGGGCGGGTTTGCCGCCCACCTTACCCACGCCCACACTGGTGGTGGTAGTGAGCAGTGCTATACTGTCACCCTAACTACTCTCACAGTCTCTTCTTAATGTCTCTCTCTCTCTCTCTCTCTCTCTCTCTCTCTCTCTCTCTCCTCTCTCTCTCTCTCTCTCTCTCTCTTCTCTCTCTCTCTCTCTCTCTCTCTCTCTCTCTCTCTCTCTCTCTCTTTATTCCTCCTCCTCCTTCTTCCTACTGACCCTCCAATTGTCCACTGGTATTCCACCCTCCTGGCCTGGTCTGCTGTGGTCTTCCATGGTCTGCTCTAGTGGTCCCTCTTATCTGCTGTGGTCTTCCATGGTCTGCTCTAGTGGTCCCTCTTATCTGCTGTGGTCTTCCATGGTGCTCTAGTGGTCCCTCTTATCTGCTGTGGTTTTCCATGGTGCTCTAGTGGTCCCTCTTATCTGCTGTGGTCTTCCATGGTGCTCTAGTGGTCCCTCTTATCTGCTGTGGTCTTCCATGGTCTGCTCTAGTGGTCCCTCTTATCTGCTGTGGTCTTCCATGGTCTGCTCTAGTGGTCCCTCTTATCTGCTGTGGTCTTCCATGGTCTGCTCTAGTGGTCCCTCTTATCTGCTGTGATCTTCCATGGTCTGCTCTAGTGGTCCCTCTTATCTGCTGTGGTCTTCCATGGTCTGCTCTAATGGTCCCTCGTATCTGCTATGGTCTTCCATGGTCTGCTCTAGTGGTCCCTCTTATCTGCTGCGGTCTTCCATGGTCTGCTCTAATGGTCCCTCGTATCTGCTATGGTCTTCCATGGTCTGCTCTAGTGGTCCCTCTTATCTGCTGTGGTCTTCCATGGTTGCTCTATGGTCCTCTTATCTGCTGGGTCTTCCATGGTCTGCTCTAGTGGTCCCTCTTATCTGCTGTGGTCTTCCATGGTCTGCTCTAATGGTCCCTCTTATCTGCTATGGTCTTCCATGGTCTGCTCTAGTGGTCCCTCTTATCTGCTGCTGGGTTTTCCCTGGTCCCCGCTCTAATGGTCCCTCGTATTTTGCTATGGGCTTCCGGTCTGCTCTAGGGGTCCCTCTTAAAAAGCTGTGGTCTTCCTGGCTGCTCCCAATTGGGCCCCCCCTTATTTTTGGGTGCGGGCTTTCCCTGGTCTGCCCTAAAAGGGCCCCCTTTTCTGCTGTGGTCCTTTTCCCTGGTCTGCCTAAAGGCCCTGTTTTCTGCTATGGGCCCTTTCCCTTTCTGCTCTAGTGGTCCCCCCTTTTCTCTGTGGGGCTTCCCCTGGGCTGCTTAATGGTCCCCCGTACTCTATGGTCTTTCCCTGGTCCCCGCTCTAGTGGTCCCTTTATCGCTGTGGGCTTCCAAAGGTTTTGCTCTAATTTGGTTCCCCCCCGTACTGCTATTTGGGCCTTCCAAAGGCTGCTTAATGGTCCCTCTTTTCTGCTTGGTCTTCCATGGTCCGCTCTAAAGGCCCCCTTATTTGTGTGGTCTTCCATGGGTTTCTCTAATGGTCCCTCGTATCTCTTTTGGTTTTTCCCGGTTGCTCTAATGGTCCCTCGTATTCTATGGGGGCTTCCATGGTCGGGTCTAAATGGTTTCCCCCTGGTTGCGTTGGTTGGGATAAAAAACCCTCATTATACTTTTAAAAGTGACAAAAAACTCCCCAAACCGTCAAACTGAGTGCGTGCCCGCCGAGGTTGCAACTCCCCTCTCTCCCCTCCTCTTTTCCCTTTTCTCTCTCCCTCCTTCCTATCCTCTCTCTCTCTCTTTCTCCTTTTCCCCTCTCTCTTCCTCTCTCTCTTCTCTTTTCTTCTCTCCCCCCTCTCTCTTTTTCACCCGGGTTTGACAAAGGGAAGGGTCCCTACTTTTTTTGACAAACTATTTACAGGTTTTAAAGGGTTCCTAACTTTATTGACAAGCTAAGAAACTGTTCCCCAAAATTTAGCTCCCTTTTGGGAAAACCCTTTTTATTGTTTTTAGACATCAAAATAGGGGAAAAGGATGAAGTTGGAGCCCAAACTGTGGGCCAGCAATTTTCATTTGGATTTTAACTGAAATTTTTTTTCGTTGACATCATTTAAGCTGAACTAATGTTTCCATTCTCGAGTCATTTCCCGGGTATTTTATGATTTTCCCAAATGGATTTATGTTTTTGGAGAAGGGGAAAAGCAGAGTGAAATTGCTGCTTTCTGCCCCTCTTTTTGGCATAAAAGCTTTTTTTCACGCTGTCCTCGAAGGGATTTCCCAATGTGTGGACTTTTTACAAATTGCCTTGACAAAACGTAAGGCCCCCCCATCCCTCCGGGGTTGAAGGCCCCGCGGGAAAAGCAGATTTATCCAAGAAAGGGGCCTGGGGAAAAGATTTAGGGGTCCCTTTTCTTTGTTTTTTACCGGGCAAACAGGGCGCAGAGTGGGGGGCGGCAAACCCAAAAAAGTGGACATACTCAAGGTTGTGGAGCGTAAATTGTGCCTGTTTCAGAATCTTGCAACCCCTACGTCAAGCAGATGCGAATACGGCGAAGTGCTGAAATTTTTTCCTTGCTGCCTTTTTTGCAAGATTTACAACAGGGTTTTCTTCATGGTCATTTTTGGAGTCAATTTCACCCCAAGGATATCAACTTCTTCTCCAGGTGCCAACACACTCCCATTCATCCTTACTACTGCACCAGCATTACGATCATGGTGTCTAGAGACGATTATCATTTGCGTTTTCTCAGGTGCAAATGTTACTTGCCATCTATTTCCCAAGCTGATATAGCTCTTAGCTGGTGATTGATGTAGCTTAGAGCAGCTGCATTTCTTCTCTTGGATAAGTGAATGTCTGTGTACAGTCGTCTGCATATGCATGGGATTCTGGGATGAGATGAAGAAGGTCGTTGAAGTAGACATCCATAGCAATGGTCCCAGCACGCTTCCTTGTGAACACTTGCCCCAATAGGATGTCTTGCTGATTCCGTTCCATTGAGAAACTACACTTAGAGATCTACCATGAAGGTAATCACTGAGGAGACATAGCGTAGACCCTGCAATTCCCGTGCTTGAAGTTTTGCTAAGAGGCCCTGGTGCCACACCCGGTCGAAAGCGCCAGCAATGTCCAGTGCTACCACACAGCTGACTTTGGATTCATCCAGTGACTGGTGCCACTTAGTGGAGAGGTTTAACAACAGATCAGCAGCAGAGTAACCTTTCCTGAAGCCATATTGACGATCACAAAGTAGTGAGTGGTAGTCAAAAAACTCTGTCATTTGTCTTGAGATTATTGTCTCAAGGATCTTACCAGTGATTGACAGTAGTGACACTGGTTTGTAGTTGCTGATTTCTGCTCTGCTCTTCTTTCTGTGAACAGGGACTACATTGGCCCTCTTCCATAGAGAGGGCCATTTACACTGTACTAGGCAGTGCTGAAAGATGCGGTAGAGGCGCTAGCTGGCTCTCTCTCTCTCTCCCCTTCCTCTCTCTCTCTCTCTCTCTTCTCTCTCTCTCTCTCTCTCCCTCATCTCCCCTCTCTCTCCTCATCTCCTTCTCTCTCTCTCTCTCTCTCCTCTCTCTCTTTTCTCTCCATCTCTCTCTCATCTCGTTTGTTTCGTAAGTAGTTGGAGTTGGGCTCCCTGGTGGTGTTCCTTTCCCGGCACGGTCCATGACCAGGCCTCGCGGTGAATCAGGGACTGATCAACCAGGCTGTTCGTGCTGGTTGCACGTAACCCAGTGTACGAACCACAGCCCACGGCTGTGCTAGTCTCGCTGGACGTCCGTGGTCCGGCTGGACAACAGTTCATTAGTAGTCTTGGGAGCCACGGACCTGGAGCCCACTGGAAGTCCAGGGGACCACTGGTGGTCAGAGGAGGCAGTAACACCTCCCTTAGACGGACTCCCCTGGAGACCCCCGGGGTCCCATTATCTGGGAGTCACTCCAGCATCTGCTCTGAACATCACTCTATTGTCAAGTGTTTCCCTTCTGCTGTCTGCTGTTGTCTGCGTGTTTGCATATCTTTCTCTGTATGTCTGCTGTTGTCTGCGTGTCTTTGTATCTCTGTATATGTGCTTTGTCTGCGTGTATGTGCCTGTGCCATGTCTGCTTTGTCTGCGTGTCTGTATGTCTGCTGTTGTCTGCGTGTCTTTCTCTTTTATGTATGTCTGCTGTTGTCTGCTTGTCTGTGTTTTCTGCGTATGTCTGCTGGTTATCTGGTGTTTGTGTCTCTGTGTATGTCTGCTGTTGTCGGTGTCTGTGTCCCCTTATATGTCTGCTGTTATCTGCGGTTTGTGTCTCCCGTATATGTCTGCTGTTGTTTTGCGTGTCTGTGTCCTGTATATGTCGCTGTCGTCAGCGTGTTGTGTCTCTGTATGTCGCTGTTGTCTGCTTGTCTGTGTCTCTGTATTTTGTCTGATATTGTCTGCCTGTCTGTGTCTCTGTGTATGTCTGCTGTTGTCTGCGTGTCTGTGTCTCTGTATATGTCTGCTGTTGTCTGTGTGTCTGTGTCTCTGTATATGTCTGCTGTTGTCTGCGTGTCTGTGTCTCTGTGTATGTCTGCTGTTCTGCGTGTCTGTGTCCTGTAATTCTGCTGATGTCTGCGTGTCCCGTGTCTCTGTATATGTCTGCTTTGTCTGGTGTCTTTGTCTTGTATATGTCGCTGTTGTCTGCGTGGGCTGTGTCTCTGTGTATGTCTGCTTTTTCCTCGTGTCGTTCTCTTGGTTTTTGCGTTTTCTCGTTTTTCTCTGGTATGTCCCCTGCACCTGGTATCAAACACGGGGAAACACAAACACGGTAACACAACACGGTGATCACAACAAGGTGACAAAACCCAAAAACCGGTACAAACACTGGGATCAACCAACACGGGGACAACACAACACTGTTA